TGGACCAATTTGCCCTCTGCTTGGCGGTCTTCTCCCGAACTATCAACCCCAGCTGCCAGCTCCCGCCAGCAGTCGAATTCAGCTTCCGTTCATCCACAAACTGCCCGTCTCGTAACGCCTCGGCGCTAACCGTCGACCAATCGCCCGTGACGATGAAAAGAGCGTTTCCGAGTCCAATCTCACGGCCATAAGAGTCAGTGAGCCTCCCTCGATCGATGGCCCGTTTTATGTTCCCACGAACGATCACGTCCGCCTCGTCGATATCCCGGAGCACGATCACCGACAACGGGTTTCGGCGAACGGCCTCGGCGATGCGGTCGACGGCATTGCCGCCTCGGAGGCCCGTGTCGGGCTCGTCCTCCCGATGCGGGCCGAGGCCGATGATCACCAAGCCCGACCCGCAGATCATCTCAGCAAGCACGGATGCCATCTTGCGCTTGGCGACCCGGTCGGGGCCCGCGAACAGCAGCCATGTGTCGCCTCTGCCGTTTCCCCGCTGCTTGCCGTTGCCCAGGCGGCAGCGCGTGATGGCCGAGGCTACGGCTGAGGCAGCTTCAGCCTGCCACCACGCGTTCTCCATCAGGCCCTTGAGGATATTCTTGTACGTGCCAGCATCCAGCTCGTTTGCGAATTTCTCGAGCGGTTTGTTTGTTGTCATGGGCTCGGATGAGATGCAGCTGAGCAGGTCTTTGGCTGGATGATCCTCGGCAGGTTTCTTCGGGCCCTTGGTTCCCAGGACGAGGTCTGTCTGCACGGGGCTTGTGGGCGGGCTTTTGGGCGCTGCTGGAGGGACGAGTTGGGTCGTGACTGGGCCAGTGTTCAGCTGCAGGGCTGATCCGAGAGGTTTGACCAGGTTGGGCATCATGGGCTGGAAAGGGGGACGGGCGAGCGAGTTTGGATTGTAGATGCTTGCCACAGATGGCGGCACGGGTAGCTGGACAGGGTTTGTGGGACAGGTAGATTGATGAAAATTGGGATGGATATGTAAGCAAGTGTCCCTCCATTTTCTCTGCAGCTCTTGAGTTTTCTGCTTGGAAAGCAGACTTTGGTCCTTTCCCTGCAAACATGTGAATATTTTGATTATTTTCTCTTTCAGCTACAGATTGTATTTGATTAAACATGTCTGTTTTAGCAAAATCTTGAAAACAAACCAAAAAAAAAAAACAAAAACATACTTGTGATTCATTGGAAGATTGAGATAATGACTTCTCAATGGCTGCAATTTTTGCTAGATCTTTTTCGTAATTCACTGAACACTGAGGGCAAAAGGTGGGTTTTTGCGCAGGATCCGAATTTTCCGGTATAAGCCTCGCCAAACCAGGTAAGGGGCTCGGAATAGGATGTCTTTGAGCAGGATTTGAATATTCAGGTATAAGCCTTGACAAACCAGGTAATGGACTTGGCATAGGTTGTTTTTGAGCAGGATTTGAATTTTCAGGTATAAGTTTCGACAAACCAGGTAACGAACTCGAAATAGGTCCTCTTTGAGCAGGATCTACATTTCCAGGAATAAGCGCCGCTAAATCAGGTAACGGACTCGGAGCAGGTTGCCTTTGAGCAGGATCTAACTTTTCAGGAATAAGCCTTGCTAAACCAGGTAATGGACTTGGAACAGTTCGTCTTTGAGCAGGATCCAAATTTTCAGGTATAAGCCTTGACAAACCAGGCAAGGGACTTGGATTAGGCTGTATTTGAGAAGGATTCAACTTTTCAGATATGCGCCTAGACAAAGAAGGTAAGGGACTTGGACCAGGTTGTTCTGTAGCAGGATCTGAATTTTCAGTTAAACGCATTGCTAAAGTAGGTGACGGACTTCGGATTGGGTTCACCGGATTCAGGGATTCCAAGGGGTTGCTCATGGTTCTCTCCGGTCCAACCCTGTAAATATAAATGATCAGATGTCAGGAAGAAAACTCAAATAAAAGAATCCGACCAATCCAAATAAAATAAATAGAGAAAAGACTACTTCAAAATTAAACAATAAATTTGATTTTCAGATATTTGCAGATGAACTACTCTTCAGTGGCAACCCAAGATCAAGACTAGATAGT